TAGACAAGATGACTAGCAAAAGGGGAATTATGGGATGATTGAAATGGGTGTTAGTTTATATAATGGGGCATTCGAAATCACAGTGGTAAAATGCATGGTATGGGACATGCAGATTTGCTTGCCCTATTATATAGATTAATGGGTTGGGTAGAATTGAAGTTCATTCATGCATTGTATAAATTGTACATTATAAATCTCACTAATCACTTAAGGCATCAGACCCCTACTGAGCATGTAATGCTCACCCCTTATTGAATCTATTGCAGGCTTTGAAACTGAAGTGTAGTTTTTGTTGAGGACAAGAAGAATGGATTATGGATAGTTTTGAGTATTTTGTTGAAAGTTTGTTACTTTCTTGTTATTTTGCTTGTAATAATACAATGTAAATTACTTTGACTTAAATGGAAGTCTACGTTCAATCTTCATGTTTCTTGATGATTAAATTTTTAGTTTTAGTTTTGTTTTTTTTTGTTTTTGTTTTTCTTTTACCTCACATTCCCAAATAATAATAAAAAATAATAATAATTGGGGTGTGATAAGTAGGGAATTATTTGAGAAATTATTCATGTGAGTGGTGATTATTGGAATTCTTGGGTTGAGTAAGTAATTATGGAAGAAAGTATTGGAAAGTTTCTTTTGGGTAGTTGAGTTTAACTCTTGTTAGGTACCAAGTTCCAGGGATCCCACAGTGCACATGGTTTTTATTGGGTGTTTTGAGACTGGCGATAGGGAGTTAAGCAAGATAATTAACAAAAGAGAAATTATCGAATGATTGAGATGAGTGTTAGTTCATATAAATGGGCATTCGAGACTAAGTGGTATAAGCATGGTATGAGACGTGCAAAGTATATTTCTTCAGTTATATGAATTAACAGGAATATACGAGAAGTTTGCATTGCACTCAGGCTTTACTATTATTGATTTGGTACTTGACTATATGATGCCATGACACTTAATTTAGTGTTATCAATCTACTGTGATAAGGTTTTATGTTCCTACTAAGCTGCTGATGCTCACACCTCAAAATATTTTTTGATAGGTTTGTGAGTTGAGATAACTTAGAGCCTAAGAGGAAGCAGATTTTGTTAAGGTATATATTTTTAGATATTCTTTGGGAAGGTTGACCTTTTAGTCTTCTTTTATTTATTTTACTTTATTATCACACACTGAGTTCAAGATTAGGTCCATGTGCCGCCAAAGTGGCAGTGGTTTGGGGCAGGTTTTTGGTGACAGAAAAACTCAACATCGCAGGGAAAGACTTATACCAAAAGCTGAAGCATAGCTAGGGGAACAATCTTTACTTTTGGACCTCGGCCAAAAAATGGCAAGATTAGCCTGAAAACGGCCAAACTAGTGAAGGTTTTATGACCAAAATTTCTTGATTGGGCCAGGTTGGGTTTTCAAGAGAAAGTGCTAAGGACGAAGAAGGCTACCTTTTGCAAGGAATATCGCGGCCTAGGTTGGCGGGGAAGATTTTTCGACCGGTGGCCTGCCTTACGGCGACCGGGCAAAGCTGAAATCTCGTTAGGAAAACAAGGAGGCATTGTGCGTCTTTTTTGTGAGAGAGAGGAGAGAAAATCGGGGAGAGCGAAGAGTGAAGAGAAAGTGAGGAAAGAGAAACTATCGTGAGTTTAAATAATTCGACTTTTCCCAAAACTTGTGGTTGTGGCACTGCACTAGTACTTTCATTGACCGTAACTTCTTTG